AGCTGTCATTCCTTGTATAATTTCAAAATTCACTCGCAGAGAACTAATAAAAAATGAGTAAAAATAAACCGCACTTCAGAGAAGCATTTGGCGTACATGTAAGTCAAGTTATTGTATACCCTTTCAGGTGCGTTTAACAGCATGTAATCCAGTATACACTTTGCACACGTTCCAGAGCCACCTCCTATTTCATATATCTGAATAACAAGCAAGGAACAATAAATTTAAGCGGAAAAGTGAGAGAAGAGGCACATTTTAAACACACAAGATACAATCCAGAAAAGGTGTTTTTAGGTTTGGAATAGCGAATAAATAAAAGAGAAAAAAAAATTAATGCATTAACATAACTATTAAACTCTCTAAAACATATCATTACAAAGGACCCTATATAAACTGATTCCTTAAAAACACATGTAATCCATTATACAATTTGCGTCAATAATTCCATGGCCAGGATCAACAAAATGAAAGGATGCATAACTGTATTATATAATTGAAGACTGATAATTGCACTAGCAACTTCAAGGTTAATTCATAGAAAAGACTTGACCAAAACAAGAATTTTCTGGTTGGAAAGTCAATAAAAGTCATCTTTAGCCAAACAAGAGTTCAAAGAATTTGGAAAGAAGCTTTTTAGGAGATGTAAATTGTTTTTGATTAATCGCTTATGATCCACTAGGAACTAAAACTTATGCAACCAACAAATAGCTAATAACACGGGTCTTTGTGATGAAGCAACAAAAGAAAAGGCTGAAATTGATGCTTATAGTTGTTCTTAACTTCAATAAAAAATACGCATTTTTATATGTTTTGTAAAACAGCAAAAACAGCAGGATAATTTTATCGATATCCTAAAGGGATATAAATACATGATATAAGAGTTATCAAATGGGAAAGACATAACATAAAAAATACATAAACTAGAATATATCTGGAAAGGAAAGGAAATAACTAAATGCTAATAACGTAACCTAAATAAATTTTAATAGTTTTAATACTCCCCCACAAGTTGAAGCATAGATAAATAAAGTAGCTTAAATAAATTCTAATAATTCTAAAACATTCTTGACATCCAATTGGAGTAAGGGCCAATCTAGATTCACAGTAAAGGATAACAGAACCCGAATGGTGTTCAGCTTATCAACTAGAGTAAACGTCTCCTCATAGTCAACTCCATAGGTTTGTGAGTAGTCTTTGGTGACCAATCGCGCTTCATTTCATTCATCAGAGTTCAATTTGGTGTTAAAAATCCATCGACAACCCACAGCTTTCTTTCACCAATGAATCAACAACATCCCACTTATGGTTTCGCCGAAAGGCATTCATTTCATCCATTATTGCAGTCTTCTAGGAAAGGTCCACCAATGATGCCTCAATAGTTGTGGAAGACCATGATCCGTCAAGGAAGTGACAAAAGCTTTGTAGATCGGAGATAAACGATGGAATGAGACGTATTTTGCTATGGGATAAAGAATACAACTGTTATAAGTATTAAAAATTGAGATAACCCGTATGAGAATTTGAGAATATCTACCATTATAACTCATAGCAAACATGATCCCCGTTCAATCAAATGTGTTT